TGAGGATATTCCAACGTCTCCATCGTAAACGAGAACTTCCCTTGTTCTCTCTCTAGCGTGAGGAGTGATCATGACATTATTATTTTGAAATCATTTTTTTCTCTCTATTTCTATCCAGTTGGAAGAGAGATTAGGATCAGTGTAGGAAAAATTGGGCGGCTCAAATTCTAACCCTGCGGTTTACCCAGTTAAATCGCAACTAATCATTGGCCAGTGCCGGTTTTGGTGAATGGGCTGAGTGTCTTAAACAAAAGGTAAAAAAAAAAATATAAAATCCCAAAACATAAAGGATTTTATTTGCAATGTATATTTAAATATTTTTTATCATTTTGGAAAAAATTTGAAAAATGTTTTGGTATTTTTTTATTTTTTTTGAAAAAATTTAAAAATATCCTTAGACATAAATTGATTCTTTAAAATCTATTTTTTCATTAATTTTTTACTTTTTAACTTCATTTAGATGTGCTTTGTTTAATCATTATTTAAATATACTTTTCATATTTTATTGAATTTTATTTTATATTTTTTAACATGTTTTTATCGCCGCAGACTTGCTAAACCGCTTCTTGTCCATGTCTAATTAACTATTCCGATTTGATTTTCCCTACACTTATTAAAACATTGCCATTATGAAGCTGGCTATCTCTATCATTCTCTCTCAACATTTAGGAGAGATCAAGATATTGCCCTTGTGAAGAAAGCCCTCTCTCCAGCTATGAGGAGAGATGAAGACATTGCCACCATCAAGTCATCTCTCTCGATGAGAGATCATGACTTGCGGTTGTGAAACTCTCTCCGTCGCTCGATTTTAGGTTCGAAGAAAGATGAAGACAAAAGTATTAGCTATCAAGAGCGGATCAAATTAGTGTCAAGCTACTAACCGGTGGTGTCTTGGATATTATGGTCTAAGATAAATATGAGATCTAAACACAGATAGGTTAAAATTGAAGTTTAACTGATTTTGGCTAGTCTTGACTAATTCGATTAGCTAATTGTATTTGGAGAATTTTATATATATATTTTTTAATTATTACATCGATTTTTTTTCTCTTTTATCTGAAATTCGGTCCAACCAGATTGACTTGTAGTTGGATTGACATGGTTCGGTTGCTAGTTTGATCCTAATAACACTACTTTGTAGTACTTCCTCCTATACACTTCCACATTTTTTAATGTGAAATAGAAGTATGGAAATTAATTTTATTGCTACACAATGAGGTCTTGATTAATAAGGTCCAATAAACAACGTTGTCCATCGAATTGATGAGGGGTTTGGTTCAGCTAGAACCAGTTAGAATGAATTTAATTAATATAAAAAATAAATTTATAAAATATTAAAAGATATAATATATAATAAAATGTTGCCCAATTTTGTTTGTGGCCTGTCAAACCGGTCAAAACCAACTGTTCAGACTGATTGAACCCAGTTAAACATTGATGTTGATCACTTTTTTACTAAACTTGATTTTTACTTTGGACCAAACTTCATTATTACTCTGCAATCCGAGTAGTTGGATCAGAGGGTTTGGTTTGGTCTTAATAACTATGCTAACAAATTTCCAAATTATCTTGAATTCCTTAATTTTTTAGTTTCCAACAAATTCAGTGACATTTACTTTATGTTTTCCATATTATGTTGTCAAATATATTTAATAACATTAAAATGTAAACTTTAAACAATTTATAATTGCAGGCTATTTGGTGAGTTGGTCGACTCGTGTGTCCACCCTGACATTTAAGGGGTTCAATACTCTTAAGCATATATGAATTAATTTTTGCCTCAAATCATTGAATTTGGGGGCTTCAAATGTAATATAGATATGATAACCCTTGAATGTCTAAAATAAACAATCCAATAAAAAATGTATAAACTAAACTTTTTCTTAAGACTCAAAATCAAGATTTTCTTATTCATTACACCAGCAGTGTTTATGATTAATTATGTGGAGAAAAGGCATCTCACTATGTTTTTTTTATCGGCAGTGAAATTGCTAATGATACATTACTCTTTTGACATGTAAAGAAGAGGTGTGCTTGCATTAAAATAACATAATTATCATGCTAATATTTAAAGGTTTTGATATGGATTGATGGCCAAACTAATAATGCCACTCTCCATCACAAAACAATAAGATCCATATCATGTGCAGTTGTGAACAATAAAATTGTGCAGTTGTGCACAATAAAATACCTTAAAAGTGTATATAAAATGATACATTATGACAACAAAAGAGATTTCACATATTATCAGGGTTTTAAAACTCGCCGAGTGAATCAATAACTGTCTTGAGGGGGCTTGGCCCGGGACCTGACTTGGAAACTAGTGACTCGCCTTGTAGGGTTGGGAATTTTTGGGTCTGATCCGGATTCACCTTAATCGAGGTCCAAAAAGTATTCATGAGATATGGATCCAAATCTAGATTTGATAGTGTCCAGAATGTTCGGATCTAGAGATGGGTCTAAAATGTGTATATGGGATCTGGATCAGATCCATATTCAAAAAGCATCCGGGTTAGGTATTCTAAAGGTTAAAAAATTATACATATTACATATATAAATGATAAATCTTCTTTATATATATATATATATATATATATATATATATAGCAAAATACTATGCAACGCCTATAAGCGAAAATGAACAGTGATTACCCCCATCACCGTCTAAAGTTCATCGCGCGGTCACGATTGTCTGATAGTATTTCATTTTTCATTTTTTTTTTCTACAAATCGGATTGACTTGAAATTTGGAGCGTGTATTCATAAAAAATAAAGGAATCTTCAAAAAATATATAAAAAAATATTTTATATGAAAAAAATTGACCAAAATATCCTCAAAAATTTGTAGGGGTATTTTGGTCAATTTTTTCCCACAGATAATACTTTTTATATATTTATTAGATGTACCTTAGTAAAATGTATAAACCCTCCAAATTTTAGGTTATTATGATTTATAAAAAAAAATAAAAAATAAAACACTACCGGACAATCGTGACTGCGCTATGAAACTTTGACGGTGATGAGGGTATGCAAAATCGCTATTCATTTACGCAATCGTTACAAAGACTTTTTTATATATATATATCTATACACGAGTAATGATCCTATGAGACCCTCCCACACCTATGTGTGGAGGACCCCAAATGATCATTATTTTGTACAAATCTCTAGAGAAAAGTTATGACATGAGTTTGTTTAGAGTTAACAAACCCTCAAAAGGTTCAAGTTAGAAAGGCTTGTGATGTATATATTTATCAAAACAATGATTACCTTTTAATTTAAAAAATTATTTAAATAGATAATTTTACAATTAAGCAAGAGTAAATTTGAAATTTTCACAAAAATATAATGGCATTTTAGAAGTTAGTGTTTTGAAACTTTATTTGTAGAGTGTCATTCTTTTTAGTTAAAATTTCAATTTTACCCCTCATGGAGGTGACCCAATTACCTTTTATCTCATAGTTATATTTACAAAATTACCCCACAAAAATAATTTTTTTTTAAAAAATAAATTATAAAATTAATAAATCTACCATTCACAACTCTCTCTATCTTGAACTTTTTTATTTGAAGGGTTGTAAAGTTTAGATTATATATATATATATATATATATATAATGCAATGGTGTGTTGGCACAATCCTAGTCACTAGATTATTTTGCATCCAATGGCTAAAACTAATGCCAGAGTATTTAATTTACACCAAATTTAACATGTCATTCAAAAGTAGCGCCAAAATAACCGCTCTCCAGATCCTGAACTTTCCTCCCCTGTGTGCGGGCGCCAAAACTCTCACCCTCTCTTCAATCCTGAACTTTCGCCCTCCATCAGTTAGCACCAAAATTCTCGCTCTCTCTCTATGAGCGCCATTAAAGCTTGTTTTTGAGGAAAAAGAGAAGAAGCTCTGTGAGAGCTGGTTGGAAAAAGCACCACAAAGCTATTTCTTCTTATCGTTGGGTTTGCTGGAGATAATCAAAAGAGCTCAGTTTCAAAGTATGCAGATGTGGATTTGGGAAATGGGGTACAGAGAGAAAGTATTATTGAGATTAAGATTCGTTTAGCAAAGGTAAGGTAGAGAGATTGTAGGATTTGCTATTTGACTTTGGAGCCCAGCAATCAGGAGTCGGGGGTTCCCATTGAGCTCGGTTGTTCTTGCAAAGAAGATTTAGGGTAAAATAAGGAAAGTATGTATATGCTATTAATATTATCAATGTTTGATCTTTATCTCAATTATTTGGAGTTAACTGCATAAATCCTGTCCCCCATTTCACTCTATCAAAGGCTATATTCTTCGTTAGTCATTTTCACTACGGGGCATACTCCTACGAGTCATTCTCACTACTTTTTATTCATGTCCTTTCTATTAATTTACCTTTTAATATATAACTAAAATAATAATATCACAAGCTAAGACTAAAAATAGACCATCTAATATTTTGTGATCCATCAAGTCTAGATCTAGATGTTTAAGAACCTAGAAGTTATCTTTTTTAAAATGTTCATACACTAATTCTACTTTGGAAATCCACAATGTCAACTTACATGCCATCTTCATTTAAATGCAAGAAACGCTTCTTCTATGTCGAAGTTTGAGAGTGGGGATCGCAATGGACCCAGGATCCAACCTGAGTATGGTATGGGTCTAAAAATTAGAATCGGCACTTCGGGTCTGGGTTCAAATCTTAGGCCCGAACACTATTTTAATCCATGTCGACCCGACCTGAATAGTGAAAGTCGGAACAACGCTTAACCCTATATACTAAATATTATTTAAATAATATATGTATATATTTAATACAATATTTTATTTAAAAGTATATCTTTTATTATTTTTCGATGCAGTCCAAGTGGGTTCGGGTCTAGGTTCTATAACTTGGGTCCTGTCGGGTCTCCGGACGCGACCCGTTGCCCGCCCTAAATTACTATGACTTGAAAAAGGGGGAAGCACGAACGTTCCGTGGGCACTTTTGGCATTTATCGTATTATCGGCATAACCTATTTCTTGCGAAACTATATATAAGTTCATCATCGCAAAAAAATTTCCCTCCATTTTCGAATAGCGAGAGCGGAGAGACCTCTACCCTTCAACAATGGTGAGTTGATTCTTTCCAAATTTCTAGGGTATACGTTTGTACTTAACCTATTTATCTACTCTCTGCTTCTTTTCAGATTTTTTGGGTTGTTCATTTTAGCGTTTTCCCTTTCTTTTCAGTTTCTAGGGTTCATTTTTTCTCCGGATTTTGAGTTTTCTATTTTTTTTTTCCTTTTGGAAGTGGAAGTTTTATATTCAGGGTTGTATTTTGTTCTCTATTGTATTTGCAGCTGTTTTTTTCCTATTTCAAGGAACTCGTTGGGAAGGAGGTTACAGTTGAGCTGAAGAATGATATTGCTATAAAGGGGATTTTGCATTCAGTGGATCAATACCTTAATATTAAGCTAGAAAACTCTAGGGTTGTTGACCAGGACAAGTACCCACACATGGTAATTCACTGTATTATTTGTTTATCTATCTGTTGACACTGAATTGTGCATACTTTTGCTATATTTAACCCCTGAATTGTTGAATTACTTGGGGATGGGGTTATTTAACTTTCATATTTCAATTGATATAAAAATCATTTTTAGTCCGTGGGTTCGGGTATGGCTTTTGGTGTTCTTGATTGTTGAGTTTGATATTACTGAAATAGGGTTAGGGTTTGAAGATGTTTCCTTGTGCTTGAGGAGTTTGGGTGATTTTCTCCAATCCTAATGGTGGGCTTTCTTTATCTCTTAGTTGATCTGGCTCTTGTCTATTTTAGTTACAAGTCATCATTTTTTTTTATTTTTGCTTCTACGTTGAAATAGTTAAACCAAGTCTAAGCTTCGGATAATATGATTTGTAATTTTTTTCCCATTTCTTAGTTTGGCCCTTGGGAATGGAACTTGAAGACAAAGAGACTTGTATTTGTTTAGTTCAGAATTTGGAGTTTTTTCTAGACATTTCCATCTGTCTGAAATTTGCATTTTCTTGTTATTGTATTTTGCTTTTAAAAAATAAATTCTAGTAAACAATTTAGGGAAAATTTTATATAGAGCCGAGGCTCTGAACAATCAAATTAGAGCCCACCTCGAAAATTTTACTAGAAGAGGTTGTTTTGATGCCCAAATATCCTCAAATTGATCATCTCAACTTCAAGATGGATGGACATGAAAAAAATGGATTTCAAGTTTTGGAAATAGTGCATATTGTAATGCATTTTTGGACCGTCAATTTTCAAGCTTTTCATAGATCTGCTTGATCTGCACTGGTTTTGAAGCTTTAACTTTTATAATTAAAGATGAAAATATATTTTAAGGCATTCACAAAGATTTCCAGTATTGAAGTCACATTTCTCGATACTATTTGAAGGTCGGCTTTACTTTGATTGTTTAGAGCCTCGGCTCTATATAAACCGCACCCAACAAGTGATACATATTATTTAGACTGAATTTTTTGGCCAAATTTACTCTTCAAAAAAAAAAGAGACCATTTTTTTGTACCACAGTAAATTCCAATGGGTTCTAAGACTTGTCGAAACCATTTTCCTTGTTTTCATTTTTAAAATTCTCTTCAAAGTTTGCAAATTTTGCTTCATCGCAAGCCTACATAGGGGTATAGTACCTAAGAGCCACCCATTCATCTTTTTAAGGCATGTATGGTCGTAGCTATTTAACTTTCCCAATGAATGATAAATGATGTGGTGTAGTACATGCTTTACACGACACAAATATCATTTAAATGATCCTTCATATTGGATATTTATAGTTTCTCGCATTTTGGCATGGAATACTTTGGTATCCCACCAAAGAAAAGAAGTAATTGGCTTCTGATATTTTTCTGAATCGAAATAGACTTATTTGATTGACTTTGTCACATCTTATATATACTCATCCAAGTCTATAAAACTTAGCACTATCGAGTCTTAACCTGAAGCTTTACTTTAATTTCACTTTATGTAGTTTCCTGAGACGTGATTGTATCTGAGTACCATGATTTGGAATTCACTTGATCAAGTACTAGCTAGTGTACAAGGTTTTACCAGAGCTGGAATGATCTAGTTAAACTTCAACATTTTGTTGGAGAATGTTTCTATAGGAAATTTGCCTGGTCTGATTCATTCGATAGCAAAATGCTAAGTCTAGTCTCAATAAAATTGGCTATTTTTTTTATTTGATAATAAAAGTGCACACATCACAGGGTACAACGCCATGTTTCGATACCACAACCTACTGAAGGTGGCATACCCTTTATCCAAAACGCTACTTCAGCATTGGTAAAACACGTTAGCTATGATTTTGGTCTTCCTGAATCTCATATGAATTCATTTATTGGTCTAGAGTAATGTGGAATATTTTCATGGAGAAGACGAAGTGCAGAAATTATTGTAGTTGAAGTACCTTCCATACTTAGTTGACTGCTTCTTATGCCTTTGAGGATGAACTGTTGTTTTAAAACTTGGCGCCAAAAAATGGGAACTTCAGCAATCTTTAGGGATTGTGTGAGCTGTGGAAGGTTTCACATGGCCCATGCTCCAAAGTATTGTATGGCATAGACTTGTTGTCAAACACCATACTTTAACACAGATGCAAGCCTTAGGATTATGGATAAAAGCGGAACTGGAGATTGATTTGAAAGCATGATACATCACAAGTTTTCCCATTCATGCTTTAGTTTGGATTTCATGATGTGTGATTGGCAGGCTAGATGGTGTTGTCGAGCACTCCTTAAAATCCATATAAAATTGCAAGTTGTTTTGTCGGTGATTGTGTTTAGCTCTCTTTTTTTAGAAAGCCACTTATTTGTATTATTTTAGAGCGTTGAGGATGGATTCCAGTACAAATTGAGCCTCACATATTCGAAGAGACAAGTGAGTTTTCAGTAACAATAGGTCTACATAAAGGGTCAACATTGAGCCTTTACCTCTTTGTCTTAGTTATGGACAACTTAACTAGGCACCTACAGGATGAGGTATTGTGTTGCATGTTGTTCGCAGATGACATAGTTTTAATTGATGAGGCCCGAAACGACGTCAACATAAAGTTAAAACTTTGGAGGGATACTCTAGAATATAAAGGTTTTCAAATTAGCTGGATTAAGACATAGTATATGGAATGCAAGTTTACTAATAATAGGGGTAGAGACAAGGAAGTAGTTAAGATTGACATCCAAAAAGTATAAAAAAGACCGCACTTTCGATATCTTGGGTCGATAATCTAAGAAAATGAAGAGATTGAGGAAAATGACTTCACAAAATTAAAGCTAGTTGGGTGAACTGGTGATATGCAACCAGAATTTTATGTGATCATTGCATACCAATGAAGCTGAAAGGCTAGTTTGATTGGACAATTGCTAAACCAGCTTTGCTCTATGGGGTGGAATGTTGGGCGTACAAAAAATAATATACCCATAGAATGAGTGTAGTAGAGATGAGGATGTTGAGATGGATGAGTGACAAGACAAGAGGAGATAGAATTCGAAAGGAATCCATTCAAGAAAATTTAGGTGTGACACCAATGGGTGATAAGATTAGAAAGAATAGACTCAAGTGGGCTAGCCATGTGAAGCGCTAATCTAGTACAACACTCGTCAAGAGGTGCGAGTTAGTTCAAGTAGAACGCTTGACAAGGGTAAGGTGTCGGCCCAAAAAGACGTGGTTGGAAGTAGCGTGAAAAAATATGGGGCGACCCAGAATAGAGCTGAATGGCGGACCAGGATTCGTGTAGCTAACCCTAATTAATTTGGAAAAGGCTATGATGATGATGATGATATTACCAGTGATTAAATCTACATGGTAAGTTGGTATGGCGCTCTTGGCTTGGTGTCAAGGTGTGTGAAATTCATTGATTAAACGCCTCCACCTCCCTTAAAAAACCCAAAAAAGAAGAAGAAGAAGAAGAAGAATAAAGAAAGGGAAAAGGAAAAGCTACATATGTCAGTGGCATGCGGAATGCCAAAAACTAGACCTCATGTGATCTCCACATATGGCCAAAACCATAGGTCCATGATCGTCGTATTGAAGATATTGTCACCTATCGCATGCGCACTAGCCATTTGATTTTGTGATTCTTATACCCTAGTTCTATGTAGCAACTTGCAACCTTTTTTTTTTTTCAAGGTTCACATGTTCTCCACATTGACAATATGATTCCATCCATAAAAAAGGCACAAACTCGTTTATCAAAATTGTTGATGCCAAAGTTATCTTAAAAATTATCGGCACCAAATAGTAGGATTCAATTAGGGGAAAATGTTTCCAAAATATGCTTTCACATGTGGCATTCTTATGCACACGGATTTGCAGGATCTTGGCAATGGCTTCTAACTCTAATGGACTCATTCTGATCCTATACAGATATTATGGATTATTTATTCAACAAATGCAACCACAGAAATTTCCATAGATGAAACCATAGAAACAATACTCTTTGATTAAAGTAGCTCTGGCATCAGTACTAACCTTGCAATGAATAGCTTATATTGATCTCCTAATTATTGCTTGTACCTTTGTAGGATTTTAAAAGTTAGAATCTAGGCATCATATGATGCAAAAATCAGCCTTTTGAATACACATGCTGGACTGCACGCCATGCAGTAATTCCCACACAGTGTTCGCAAAATCGAACCAGAACGGTTAACCGGACGTGGGCCCGGAAGCGGTTTAACCGGCTTAAGCGGTAAACCGGTTGATTCAACCATTCTAACTGGGCAAGTCCCTAGCGGTCAAAAAAGTGTTAAAAAATATAAAAAAGAAAAAAAAAAAAAACTACTACAATATGAAAAGCATATAACAAATCAATTTGTGCCCAAGGGTATTTTTAAAATTTTGTAAAAAAGATGGGAAAATATAAAAGTGAGTATTAATGACCAAAACAATTTTTAATCTTTACCATGATGTAACGAATATTAAAAAATGCATTACAAACCAAATTCCTTATTTTTGGGAATTTATATAAATTTTTTTGATTTTTTTTTTTTAAAATATCGGTCGATCACCAAAACCGCACAAAACTGGAACCGGCCAGTGGCCGGTTCCGATCTAACCGGGTGGTTAGCGGTTAGATCGCTTGGTTTTTCCAACAGTGTTCCCTCATGGATCTAAGGGAAGATGAAGGGAAATTGGGAAAACATGATGGTCTAGCTGGCTGCATCATTTGAATAGCATTGGCCAATGACATAAGGCCACAACCAGTGCATAGTCTCGCACTTAAATGTGTAGGCTGGAGGAAGATGCCTAGGGTCACATGGAAGGTCTTGAATAGGAGTGTCTGTGAATTGGGAAGCACCAGGTTCGATTCATATGGTCTAGGGGTTATTAGATTTATTAATGGAAATTTGCATTGTCTCAGTATTAGGCTCAGTCAAATAAAACATGTCTAGATATCTGTATGGAAATAAATGGACAGTTTTGCCCTTGATCAGCATTAACAGTGTAGTTTGGTTGCCTTTGTTTTCTGTTCCCCCTCCCTGGTAATGAGATATTTTGTGTTGTATGTACCATTTACTACATACATGTTTCATAGTGTGCCTGGAATTGTCTGTTTGTCATGTTGATGTAGATTATCACGAGTTTGTAAGGACACACTTAAATACCTTGGAATTGGATTCACGATGTAACCTTGCACTTTCAGAAGTGCTAATATTATTACATGAACCTTGGTGGATCTTATATTCACGAATGCAATTGGCAACATTTCATTTTCTTGAATTTGATTTAACAGTAAATATCTATTTTATGGATAAGTTGGAGAATGCTTCTCTTTTTTCAAAGTTCACAATTAGTGGACCTCATTCTTCTCCGGTGTCATCTGTTATTTTCTTTTAAGCTAAGAGGAAGCGAGTGTGACTAACAACTTTCAATTTAACTGAGATTTGGTTTAGATATGGTTTTATGCCTTAGGATTTGTCCCATGTATTCTTTTTAGTATGTTGATTTTTGACATTGCTTTTGAATAATCCATTCAAGTCAATACACAAAACTTCAGAAACATTTGCCTCTCTGCTCTTAGGTTATAGTTGTGTATCCATATTTGCATTTGTTTCCTTAAAGAGTTTCTGGAGTTTCAAATCTGCCTTATCTCAAAATGTTTGGGGAATTCTAAAGTCCACAATACTAGATCTTTAGCGGCGAGCTCATATAACCATATAGATCAGGAAATCTCCCTCGCACTATAGTTCCTTCTTAAGTAGGGTTGTCAATTCACTCTTTCATTAGTGCATGGACACATTTTGCCATTTTAGCATTTTACCCCTGAACAGCATTGCAAATATAGTTAAGAAAGGATTCTCAGATGTATTTTAATATTATTAAAAAAAAAAACAAAAACTTAAGGGTGATTTGAACAACTCTCCCAGGTCTCATGTTTCTGGAATAAAACTTATTCTTCAGTACTTTCCTCCATATGGTTTCCCTCACAATATTGTTAGGCGCAATAAAGCCTTGTTTACCATCAGTTCATATAAACCAATTCTTCTTGTTGTCATCCATGGATCTAGCAGCTTGCTTCTCTGGGACAAGTTGATACCATTTTTCCTGCATCTTCCACTCCAAGGGAAATATCTTTCCCTCGACCTTAATGATCATTTGGAAGAGAAATTATAATGGGTTGAAAGATTTGTGAGTGTATCTTTGATGAGTTTGATTCTCTTCTCAGATGTCAAAATCAACATTATCTCGTTCCACTATTTCGTTCCCTATTTAGCTCTTTCCACTACTGGTAAGTGAGTTTTGTTGTTAAGCCCAAACACAAATGTAGACCAACTACGTCATGGAAGTATGTAAATCCTTGTACAATTTCATGATCTGCCATGTACTCTTTTTCATCACGAGTTTTGAGCACCCCATGTATGGGTTTCTATATACTCAATTCTTGGGTAAATATTTTTTGCTTATACTTAATAATATTTTGTTTTGGAGCACCCGGCTTGGGGGCTGCTGATACCTCTTCTCGTGAGGGATCTGTAAATTATCTGCCTTGATGATTTTGAATTTGTAAGTTGTCTTTTTCGCTGTGTCCCCTTCAAATATCTAAATGAATCCGAGATTTAAAGCATGTTCTACCAAGAAATCTCATGGTGTCATTGAGAAATAGGTTCATACTCTTGACGATATAGAAAGCTCCTCTCCCTTCAGTAGTTGTTTTACAAATTGCTACCCACTGATTCATCCCCAATGATGCAAGGCAAACTAGGTTAAATGAGGTTAATTGTCTTAAAGAGACTTCCAAAATAGTAATTACAGTCTCCATAGCCACAAGGAGTGACCTAGTTGTAGAAATAAAAACTGTGATCCGCTCTTGCTTCTCTTTGGAAAACCTATTTCTTTGAAATGTATACATCAAGAAATTCAATTTACATTTCTGTTTGAGGTTTAACTTACGGCCTATGGTTTTTACCCGTTTTAGCCTTTGATCCAATCATCTGTGCCTGGACTATCTGCTCCATCTAAAATTTGCTTGCCTCTGAGGAGCGCCTCTGGTTTGCTCCTCACAAAGCTCCTCTGGCTTGAAAATATGACTATTTCATAGCTACTCAGAGAAACTATACAGCAGTCATATTTCATACTTGTATTTTTATTTAAAAAACCTATGAAATATTCATAGTTCTAAGAGAAACTTTCACATGATCCTATTCAGCTGTTGTAGCTTGGTTGTAGCTTGGAGACAAATTTTTTGGAACTTAATACAACGCTAAGGGGCCTAAGATCTCGAAAACTGTCCATCCCTCCCTCTCACGATTTGCATTCTTGAAACCCATTCACCACTTTTAGGGCGTGTTTGATAAGTGGAAGTTTTTGGAAGTGGGAGTTAAATGTCCCACTTCCATGTTTGACATTACTGTGTGGAAGCTGTAAATTGGAAGGGCGACCTTCCATGCAGCTTTTTTTAGTGTTAAAATGGGTTCATTTTTGGAAAACTTCTCTTTCATAAAAAATATGGAAGAACAGTCTTCCATAATTTGTGGGAGAGTCCCTTTCATTCTCAAAAGCTCTAATGTGTCGAACACACTTTGGGAGTGGAGTTCCCTGAAATCTTCCAAGGTTTTATAACCTCCAATAATGTTTCGAAATGAAAGTGGCCAAATCATCACTCTGGGACTTACCTTTGGTGATACTGAAAACTGCTTTTTTGACTTAGATGTTTAAGGGTATTTCCAAAGATATTGCACAACCTTCAGGAAGGGTTTAAAGGTAATAGTCTGTATCAAAGTTCAACGTTTGGTCTTGATAATACTGCCTCTCAAAGAAACTAACAATGTCCACATTTCCTCACCCTTGGAGAAGATATTATTTCCCATTATCCTAGATGAGTGGCTCTTCCTTCTCATAGTATTGTATAATGGATTGATTTGATAGTGCAATCTCCTTATGTGAGGACAATCTGGATTTCAGGCTTTAGTTAAATTCATCTTGCTTGAGAACTACCATGTTCTTAAGCAATAAAAAAATGAAAGAAAATAAAAAATAAAAAGAGGACTACCATGTTGCTCATGAAGAACTGCCTTCTGTTTTCTCCTTGGAATTCAAGTTCCTCCTTCTATTTATCTGAACTGCTCAGCTCTTCCGAAGTTCTTTCTCCTTGGAATTCAAGTTCCTCCTTCAATTTATCTGAACTGCTTGTTTCGCAGGAATGAAAATGTAGCCTCATGGGCGATCCTCATCTTTAAGAGAGAGCAAGAATGCTTATAATTTTTTTGCAGGTTATACTTTTGTAGTATGTAAAAAGAAAATAAATGAAACCGGCAAGATTGATGTTTTCTGGGAAATTTTTCAAAATACCCGTGAGCAATGACGTATTTAACATTTTGCCCATTTGTAACTTCCAACTCAAGAACATGTATATTTTGATGGGTATTTTGAAATCAAATCAAAATTTATAGATAAAGTGTTAAGATAAAGTGTTAAGATAAAGTGTTAAATTGGTCATTTCTTATGACTAGTTTGATAAATTTCGAATGTTTTCTTTTTGCATTGTAGGAGAGCTCTGGTATATTTTGATTTACTCCATGCGTTGCTCCTAGTTTTATCTAATATTCCTGTATAGTTTATCTGATACATTTGGTCTATAATTGATTCGACATTCTTTATTACATTCAAATCCGATTTCTTCCTTCTTTAACAATTCAATAAATGGTTTTGATCTTTGTCCTTTTTTTTTGGGTATTTTTCAGCTCTCAGTTCGGAACTGTTTTATCCGAGGTTCAGTGGTTAGATATGTTTTGCTTCCACCAGACGGGGTCGACACTGAACTTTTGCACGATGCCACGAGGCGAGAAGCTCGTGCTGGTTGATGTCTAATGTATGCTTTTGCGTTCTTGTTTTTTAGAAATTTCTAAATGAAACCATAATTTACCGACCATTATCATGAGCTGCTCCCATTCCAATGTTAAAATGCATTAGTGCTCTGTCTCTCTCTCTCTCTCTCTAAAATGTCTGTGGTATACATGGTTTTAGTTAAGACTCATCATGATCAATTTGCATGCAAGTTTTGCTACTTGTATAGTTGTTGGGGTGGGGTGAAGGCATTTGAAATGAGCTTTCTCCAAAAAAGTGTGCAATGTGCTCGTCTTTGAGGGAGAGTGGCAGTTCCATTTCGAATCTAAAGGAATCCAAATAAGAGGTGTATATTGTGGTCCAGCATGAATAAAGTGTATTGGTGAGAAAGAGTGGTCTTCAGGTTGTGCGTGTCACCTTTTCCATTCTCACCTGGTCCCAAATTAATATTCGAGAAAACAAAGAGCAGAATTTATCGGTCTTGTGACCAAATTAATTAGTGAGGGAATTTCGTGTGATGAAGACTTTTCTGAAACATCTTATATAGTAGGGGTGGACCCGACTTGGGACGTAACGACCGGACCAGACTGGGTCTGGGTATGAGTCCAAAAGTTGGACTTGGTGGGTTGGGTCCGGGGAATGCTATTCCAATCTAAGTCCATGCGGATCCGATTTGAATAGTGTTATTCAATTAATATTTAAATAAATATCATTAATTAAAATTAAATATAAATATAGATTTTTAGTTATATTATTTAAACAACACATGTATATATTTAATAGTGTTGCTTCATGAGGTGGAAGACAAAAAAAATACATTCATAGAATGAGTGTAGCAGAGATGATGTTGTGATGGATGAGTGACAAAACAAGAAGTGATATAATTTAAAATAAATATATTCAGAAAAATTTAAGTGTGGAATTCATAAGCGATAAGATGAAAAAGAGTAGATATAAGTGGGATAGCCATGTATGGTGTCGATTAAGTACACCACATGTTAGGAGGTATGAGTTAGTTCTAGTGGAAGGATTAAAAAAGTTAAAAAGTAGGTCCGAAAAGACGTTGGAAGTAGTCTAAAAAGATATAGACTTATGGTCTTATTGAAGGTATGGTATTTAATAGAGCATAAAGGTGGACGGGAATTCGTGTAGTTGACCCATTTAATTGGAAAAATGCTATGATGATGATATATATATATATATATATATATATATATATAACATAATACTTTATATATATTAATAGTATTTCACTCTGCTATCGACATGCTATATCCGTGACGGTTTTACTTTAAAAGCCGCCACAGATCTACTGGTTGTTGCTTGTGTTTTTCTGTACGAAAAAATACCCTCACGGACATAGGTCTTTTAATCCATGCCGTTTGAAAAACTCGGACGGCACCTAGCCTATGGGCGAAATACTGTTCATTTTCGCCCATAGGCGTTTTGTAGTCTCTTTATATATATATATATATATATATATATATATAAAGATGATATTATCATAACATAAATATTTCCCTAACCAAATTAATATAATTTGGATCTTCATGGAAGTTCAGATATCTCTATTCTCTCATCCCCAAACTCTGATGACTCATGGCAACGCTGCTTGGTACTTGGAAAGATAATAGATCTCTATAAGCACAATCTAAAACCATATGGAAATTTGTTTGGGTGTTTAAGCCCTTCAAACTACATATTTGTTGAACCAGTTCAACATGTCAGTATGGGCCTCCTCAGCATTCTTCACTACTGTCTCATCATCAAGACTGTACCTTACCGTCCACCCATGCGCAACTCCAGGGAAAATCTTCACAAAGTTATCAACCTGCCAAAGATGCCACAGGTCTCATTAACCACCTTTATGAGCAGGCCAAATCCCTTAAAACAACCAGAAACAAAGATTGGGAAGTTTGGGGTCTAAAGTTGTATTTGAAGAATCCCTGAATCTTCCAATATTATTTTTTATTAATTTCATTTCTGATCTTCAACCAATCCAGCCTATCCAAATTGCTGATTTGGATTTGGATCGGTACAATAGCTGAGCAATCCGAAAATAGATTCTAGGTTTTAAAACACTTGCAAGAAACAGTTGATGGTGATAGTGCCTCACCTTGTTTCTCGTTGATAAAATCTCTTCAAATTGTTTCACGAGTTCAGGAGGAGAGGCCTTGTCAATCTCTGCTCCGAGTATGGCAATTGGGCATTTAACCTCTGCCTCCAAAGAAAAAGATCATATGAGCAAAAGATGAAAACAATTCAAATTGCTGGCGAAGTCTTTTGTATAAAGAGGGAAAAATATGACATGGAAACAGTCATCCATATGTAGTTGCTGAGTAAAGGGGTCTCACCTGAGATGTCCTCGGGTTTTACCAAGGATGGATGTAGAAGCACTGCAGCTTGGATGGAACCAGACTTTGCCAGCTCTACCACAACCTTGGCTGAGTTCAGAAAAATTGATAAGCAGAAAGATGCAATATGTCAACATACAAAAATAAGCCCTTGACTAAGGTTTTACATGAAGAATCTTTTGTTTAATACAAGTGGCTATGAAAGGTTTTATATGAAGAATCCACTCTTCTCAAAACCATTAACTGAATGATCGTGCTTAAGAACTGTAATATGCAACCTTGAAAACCATGAGTTTGTCAACTATTGAAGGCTGGTATGGAAATATTGAGCAGCAAAGAAATGAGAAGTTTATGAGAAGTCCATGAAATTAAAAATCAATAATTCTTGAGAGAATCTTTTGAGTCACTATTTTGCAATCTCCATAATAAAATAGGAAACGATCTTACCGCCCCAACAAAATCCTCCAGCTCCAATTGCTGATATGCCTTTACTCTTCAGAGCTTCAATGATTGGCTTCGAGACCTCAAATGCTTTTTCCTGCAAGAGTGCAAGAGATAAGCATGCTATGACATAAACCAAGATTACAAATAATCAACTGACAAGGAAAATTCAGCACAAAAAATAACAGATATCTACAGAAGAAGTGCAGGAAGGCATGCATCATATATTTGTCTTCTCCATAGGTTAAGATTTAATGTAAGCCGCTTTGGCACCAAAAAGGGCTTGCCTGCTACACTACAAAAAGGACCAAACCAAGGCCGGTAGAAATGATCCATGAGATCCAAAGAAAAGAAAATCACTTAAGCATACATGAATTTGCAAGACCTAAACAGAGGCTTTCGGACTATTTTTTGTTTTTATTTTTTTTTAAATTGTTAAAATATTTATTGAGAAAAGAGTAAAAAGAAATAAAAATGGAGATGCAGGGATTATTATGAAAGATAGCAAAGCAACACTTCAGAGTGATTGCTGCAACAACATTACTTATCTGAGTTGGTACCCAGACTATCATAATGACGGCGTGTTAGGAACTCTAAAAGCACTCTTCAATGGAAGATTAACATCATCTTAAAATGTAATTTCACATATATTCCTGCTTTCAAAACTAAATGAACTGTCAGAGAAACATTAAAACAACTAGAATCATTAGCTCATTCCAGCAAATATAAATAGAAACACTTCAAATGTCACAGTAAGATCATCTCCAACAAGAGGTAACTCCAAATAATTAATGGTCGGTTAGGTTTTGCAAACTAACCGGCTTGTGAGATTGTAACCAGTTTGGAAAAGCATCAAAAGGTTGATCAGGTGCAAATGGATCACCATAAAAGTAATCAGTTACAACAACATAGTACCCAGCAGATGCAACTTTGTCCGCTAGCCTCCTGCAAAAACATCAATTTAAAGGAATAACAAATGGCCATAGTGGTGCGGCATATACTGAAGTCCAATGGTTTATAGTATCCCACGGCCCATTAGAATCTTGACAGTCCAATGAAATGATGGAAGGCGATGGAGAGAGAATGGGACTCGCAAGAAAAGGACATGAGCCCGATGCTGTGTCCTAATCTCTTTCCATCTCTCCATCAGCAGGCATCATTTCATCAGATGGTCATGACCCAAATGGACTACGGCACACGACATTTCCTGAGATCATACTGTAATTTTGCCCTATTGGATGAGATATACGATTTGAGTTATGAACTGTGAAAATTAATAATGATGAAGGTTATGTAATAAGGAATTCACGATCGTATACAGAGAATGAATGAACTGAAACGATTATAAGCAAATTGCGAATGAAATTAAGCCCATGATTTTTCTAACGAAATTGAGTTCACAATGTTTTTCGGCAGTTATTTTCGCATAGTTGACTAGTGGCATGGAACTTATTTGAGGAAATAACTAGAATTGGAGGTGACAGGGAACGATTTAAAACAATTTAATAATAAAATGAAAAAGAACATGATATATTTTGTACAACTTAAATTGAAATTTTCTGTGAGTCATATTATAGAAGAAACAGCCCTCAAAATATTCAAAAGTAAACTGTTGAGGCAAAATTTAAAGGACAAGGTTTTTATGAGTCAGCAGAGACTCATCATCGGTTTAAATGAGTCCCCTCTCCGGAATCTATTTTAGAGATGGATTTTAGATTCAAAATTTTGAAGAATGAAAATCTCAACCATGATGAGTATGAACCCAGAAAAAAAAAATTAAAAGAAAAAATGAAATTTGTTTGACGTAATTTGTACACAATTGATTTTAACAATTTTTTGTTCCAATTTCTAACATTCATCCCCAAGATGGGTGTTGAAATGCATCAGAGGATGCTATTCTAGAAGTGCGTCCCCTGACGCACACACTAGTTTTTCAAATCTAAATGCAAGAAAGTGGTCTTGTTGGTCCCAACCACCAATTTATAATCAAATGAAGAAATCCAGAATAAAGAAATCCAGAATAAGAATAATGGTAAACATAACATGTTGGTTACTCTAACTTATAGAACAAAGTAAAAAGAAATTTATCTGAGAGCCTGAGTGGAAGTTAAAAGTACCTCAAATTGGGTGCCTCAAATCCTGAAAAACAAGAGATGAAACAAGCAAACACAGTGAGCATAAAAGAAAATGGGATTGAGAAAGAGTTATGCAGGTAGCCAATTGACAGTTACAAAAACCATCCATCAATGAGAAAAGAATACAGCAAGAAGTTATTTCAAAGTCAAATAAACCCTAAATCAAAGTCTCAAACTCTCAACATTTCAACCATTGTCACAAGGTATAAAAGCAATAGGTCTTGAACATGATTAACAAATACAATCAGGTTTCCAAATCTAGGAGTACAAGCAAAAGTTACCATTAAATTAAGAAAAGGTAAAACCAGCTGATATTTTGCAGATTTTGAGAAGTATTTCCCATTTGGAGATCCCAAAGTTGAATATAAGGATAAACATGCATGCCCGATTAATTCTTGAATGGTGGTAAAACTAGAAACTCTGGGTTTAGAAGCAATCCAAGGCTTATTTGTTCTCATCGACAAAAGGAAAACAAAGTTCCATTGCCTTTTCTTCATGTTCTCATTAAAAAATCGAAGTATTATTCCTCAGTAATCAGCAAACAGAAAGTTTGAAACTCCCATCTGATATTCTTCACAAATTTTAAAAAGCAAACTACTCATTAACAAAAAAACAGCTAGAAAATAAATGGGGTGTTTTGAAATAAGACTGCATGCTTGTATTATGAAACCAATCAATTGAAACAGGAATTACCAGAAGCCCAAACTGATAATCAAATTGCTCAAGAATATTTATAGCACCAAACATAGGCTTAGTTGAAAATTTGAAATTAAGTTATCCAAATTTGGCATATAGAATGAAGCACAAGAAGATGTAACAGGGGCCTAAAACCAACATAAAAAAACAGAAATTTAGATGGATTAAATGCCCAACAAAAAAGATCATGCCATTTTCTTTCTCCCCCAAAAGAAAATGGTTTCCAAGTAGACCCAATCTTATGCTCAGGGAAAAAGTAATCTTATCCACATCAAAGTAGACCCAATCTTATCCACATCAAAGTAGACCCAATCTTATGCTCAGGGAAAAATTTCAGGCACATATACATAAAAAACAATAAGAAAACCAAAGCAAAAAGAACAAGAAAAAAGGAATGAATCTTTGTATCTTCCAAACTATGAAGCAACAACAAACTCAGGATTGAAAAAGAGATGGGTAATCACCAAAAATATCAGAAACGAGAACGATGGCACGCTTAGAGTCAGAAGAGCCAGTAACGTAGGCCTTGAGGCCTCCAAGTTCTTCAACATGGCCTTCACCACTGCTCGACCTGAGTGTTGGTGGATTCTCACAGCATTGAGGGCCAGCCATCCTCTCTCTTTCAACTCTCGCTCTCTCTAAACCTTTCTCTCTCTCTCTCTAAACCTTTCTGTCACTCAATTTCTCTCTCCAGAAAGAATCCTATATTTTGAGGGGCTCTGAAGGATTCCCATGTGATTGTCCCACCTGTGAGACAAGATTCTCGAAGAAAGTAAACAGGTTCAAGGATTGGGAAAGTATGGACTTTGGTTTACAAGGTGGTCACATTAAATGGTCTCATTGGATACAATCTCATTTACGCTCTTCTTTGATAAATCTAGCCGTTGGTTCGCTATAACACACATATTTTGCAGATGTATCCTCTTCAACTTAGCTATCAACCTTTTTTTTTTTTTCTTTTTTTATAGTTTAGCGGAGAGTATATCCCCAACATGTGATAGGAATCAAATTAAAAAAGTATTGTGGCACCTATCACCTGGACCACTTTAGTGACTTGACTCGAATTACCTAAGTCACTCAGACGTGGAAGGGTGCCGAGTCCAGTTGAATAATCCCAAGCAGGGCCTTGGAAACATGCCAATGGCTGGGTCCGAGTAATTAGTAAACCGGCGTAAATGCTCATATCTCTGTTGGTCTAAAAAGTGTTAAGAAATAAAAAAAATACAAAAAATACAAAAAATATATTTAAAATGTGATTAAATAAAGCACACCCAAATGAAGTCGAAAAGTAGTGAAAAAATGGATTTTAAAAAATTGATTTAGCTCATTAATATTTTGAAATTTTTTTAAAAAAGATGAGAATGTAAAAATAAGTATTTATAGCAATACACTCTCCAATCTTTGCCAAAATGATTAAACCTACATTACAAACAAATCTCTTACTTTTTGAGATTTTATATTTTTTAATTTGATTTTTAAATATCTAGTTGGACCACCAAAACCAGATCAGTTAGTGCCCAGTTCCAGTTTGACCAGCCTGTTCTGCGTTGGATCAGTCAAGTTTAAACACTGATCCTAAGTCTTGGACATTGGAAAATTGATTGTTTCTAAAATGGCTAATGTTGCTTGTTTAACAGGGAATGTAAATGTAACTTCAGGGGTGATCCCCATCTTTCAAGAGATAATACTTATAAATTTTTTGCATGTTATACGTTGTAGTAGGTAAAAGGAAAATAAATGAAAAGGTTTGATTAATGGGGTTTTTTATTTTTTGGATATTTTGATATATATATATATATATATAAAAGGTCTTGAAAAGGCTCCTATGTAGGAATTTTAAATATTGCTCGCACCATATGATATAATCTTTTGGCATTTCTTTTCCTTTTAAAGGATGTTGTTTATATAAGGCATGAGTTTTTAAACAACCAAAGTAGATGCACATCCAACTATGTAAGAAGAGGTAATTTTGGTATTGGAAATCCTTATGATGATCTGAAAATATTTTTTTATTTTTAATAATGAAATTTAAAGCTCCAAAATGAGGCATATTTAGTAGTATCCAAAAAATGTACTACAAGATGCATTATTTTTTGGATGTTAAATGATTTTTTTTCATATCTATATATCTTGAGGTCGAGGTGATTTGAGGTGATTTGGAGGGTTTTCAAGTATCAAAGCAACGTTTTGCGTTGGGTTTTTAAGATATAATTTGCTTTTATTTTTATAATACAAGGTTGATCATCATCATGATAGACTTTTCCCCACTATATGAGGCGGCTACATGAATCCTAACCTGCTTTATATGTTTAGGATTCAGAACAAGTTTTGACAAAATTCTATGTTGGTTGTCTACCTAACACATCCCATCTTCTTTCTTTGGGCATAGAACGGCCTAAGAAAAATTTAAGGTCCTCACCCTTTTAGACCAATAATACTTGGTTGATGCAATATATAAATATATTCTTTTCTATAACACGAGCATGAGGGTTTGAGGCAAAAAATTTGGAGTCCTATTGAGGCGCATGTTTGACTTGTGGGACCGAATGAATTATTTGGTCCGATAGGACCACATAATCATTTTAACTTGTAGATGGTATGGTATTTTTGTTCTCTTTGGTGCATGCTCGTGTGTACATGTTTGGATGATTGTACTTCCGGATCACAATATTATGGAGTTTTTATTGTTACTGTTTTTAAGTAATTAAGCGGGGAAGGCAAGCTCCTTCCGTTTTTTCTGAATAATTTAGAGGTTAGGTTTTGAAGGTGTCAGTGGGTGATAATGAAAATCACAATATAGTGTGATTTGGGTGTGAGTGATTAGGGCTACCACGATTTTAAACCTTTTTCTAATATTTTGAAGTTTCAAAATTGATTATTTTACACTTTTACTGTTGAGACATGAGAAATTTTAACTATGGCCAATGAAACCGAAACAAACACTTTGATAGTGACCATTGAAACAAGAGCATTCGGATACATGCACATATGCATGATTATTTGGCGGTAACACATATGGGGTAATACGATTTAGCAAGTGCACATGTGATTCACGTTATTATTATTATGATTACAATTGTGATGGTAAAATAAAAAATCTAATGATATCTAGAATTTAGGGATTAGATTTTCAATAAAGTTAAGTAATAATTAACTGAAGTATTTAGAGAGTTTCCTTTCTAGATTAACTTTATTATCAATTAAATTATTAATAAAAAGAAAAAATTTATATAAGAGCGAGGCACTAAACAATGAAATAAGGTGCACCTCAAAAATTCTCTAAAAGAAGTTGTTTTGATGCTCAAATATCTTCAAATTGATTATCTCGAACGCAAGATGTATAGACCTAAGAAAAAATAGATTTCAAATATTGAAATAATGCATCTTGTAATACATTTCTGAACCGTTAGTTTTCAAGTTTTTTTAGTGTTCATAGATCTACTCAATCTACAGTATTTTTAAATCTTTAAATTTTAGAGAAAATATCCATATACACCTTATTTTTTAGTTTCAATTGTCAAAATGACCCCAAGGTTTCAAAATATATCTAGTTGCATAGAAATCTCATGTATGATATTTTCAAAAGAAAATATCTCCATAGACTCCTATTTTTAGGTTTTATTTATCATAGACTTTGGTTTCAAAGCTTATCTTGAGGCATAAAGACTATGTTTCGAAACCTATCTTGAGACATAGAGACTCAATCTATCATATCTTCTAACCTTCTAAACCAATTTTACTGGTTTTTATCTTATATATTTAGCCCAAACAAATTTTTTTAATAAAATTTTTTTTCTAAAGCCCCCTCTCTCGTCACTTGGTTCTCTTTTTCTCTCTCCCCCATGAATCTCCCAAACCCTTTTCTCTCTTTCCATACTTCCCCACCCTCTCTCTCTCCTACTTCCCCACCCTCTCTCTCTCCCCCTCCCCAAACCCTCTTATCACTCACTTTTTCCATACTCCCCCCTCTCTCTACCTCCAAATTTTTGATTCAATTACTTTCTTCTCAAACTCCCACCAAATTACTGGATCAAATACAACACAAGCGGGCACGGGGAGAGAGAAAGAGTTGGGGGGAGTACAGGAGAGGGCAAATTTAATTGGTTTGCTGCTGCTCTCTCTTTAGAAATGGAAAACAAGACAGACCTCTCACTCTCTCAGCTTAGTCAACCCTACCCCAATAAAACTTTCAGGCAAAGGTTTTCCTCTATTGTTGGAAAAATTGTCCATTTGAATCGGTAACTGCCAAGTTAGATCGAAATCAGCTTCTAACTAGTTGGTGATATGGGTATTTTAAAAAGTAAAAATAAAATAATTTAAAAAGTAAAAATAAAATAATTTAAAAAGTAAAAATAAAATAATTTATATAAAATCTCAAAAGAATAAGAGATTTTGTTTGTAATATATTTTAAATAGTTTTTATAACAAAAATTGAAAATTATTTTGAGCATTAATATTTCTTTTTAGAAAAATATCCCCTTATCCTATATTTTTAACTTCCATATATCATATGATCCAAAAATTTTGAATCCTCATCCGGAAAGCACTTTGACTATTGAAAATCTCCGTAATTGCTCTAAAATCATATTCCAATATGGACTATAAAATTTAAAACTAAAAAAAATAGTACATATCTTACACAAATCCGTAAACACTTATTTTTAAGGCAAAATAGACCATCTAGATAATAAATTATAATCACACTATTTTAGTGCTTGAAATCTTAATCTTTTTTCACAGCCAAAATGATCAAGGCTAAGATGATCAATTTGAAGTTTTTTCCACACTGAAACTACAATTTTATGTGAGCACCGGGTTCAAGTTTTTGTACTCATACTCAAACCTTGATTAGGTCTACCCCTCGGGTCCTAGGTTGGGTCCGGGCCCATTGCCACCCCTATCAGGGTGAGTTTGATCTCCAGCTGGGCTTCTAACTTGGGGGCAGGACCATGGCGACTATGAGCCCGAGTTAGGACTTCTGAATCACTTGAGAGAAACGAGAAAAGGGGGGAAGGAGAAAGGAAAACTGGAGCCCCCAACAATAAGAACCAAAATTCTTACTTATAGGGGGAACTAAAAATAAAAGAAAATGGCAATTCGTATTTTTCTTCCTAAGTGTAGATTTTACTAACTTTCTATTTCATATAATTTTAATTTTCTTAATTTTATATCAGGGAAGAATTTTCAGTAGGATACTTGAATAGTCATTCCCCAAGAATTACAAGTTTCTAGGAGAATTGCATTATCATTCATACATCATCGTCATCAAAGTTTTTTACAAATGAATTTGAGTCGACTACACAAACCTTAGTTTGTCATTCCGCTCTATTAAGGACGATACCCTAAATGAGGCCCATAAGTCTCATATCTTTTCTTACTACTTCCAAATATATCCTGCATAACGTATTGAAGCATACCACATTAACATGCTATAATACACACACATACATACATATATGCTTGCTCATATGACGACTGAACATAAGACTTTAAGCGGTAAACACACTACTCGCCAGAATTTTCTGATCAATATATAGCTCAAAGTACCTAGTTTTCAAATATTAGATAACTGCATGATACCATATCAAATACGTGTAGTTATGCTTAGTGTCCAGTGATCTCAGGAAGCCCAAGAAAGCCCTTCAAGCAACATATTTCTTGAACCAGTTCAACATGTCGGTATGGGCCTCCTCGGCTCTCTTCACGGCTATCTCATCATCAACACTGTATCTAACAGTCCAACCATGAGCAACTCCCATGGAAATCTTCAAAAAGTAATCAACCTAACAAAAATAACCAGAAATTATTCAGCCTTCATTAACAAGATTCCCCGAAAACGAACTGGTAATGATTATGAAACGTGTTATATTGGTCCGCATAAGAAATGAAGGAAAAGGTAAGAAAAACACCACTAGTCCATGTTCATGTTTTGCTATTACTTGGGTCAAAAACAATTCCCATCTCTTATCCTTTTTCGATTAGGGGAAAAATGAAACTCAAACCCAAGTATTGATGGTTAAAAAACAGAGCAGTTTCCATTAGACCATAACTCAAAATGCCAAGCAAATTAATATCAGTGGGCTATATTATTTTAGGTAAGTAAAGAAAAGTATATCCTCACAGTGATACTAATTTTGTGTGGTAATTTTGAGTTTAGCAAGGAACGGAGTGCAATATCACAATTGTCTACAATCCCACTCTTCATATTGTAATAATGCTCTTGATGGAAAACAATGTCAAGTGTCTTACCTTCTTCTTTGTCAACAAAACCTCTTCAAATTGTCTCACAACTTCTGGTGGTGTTATACTGTCGGTCTCGGCTCCCACTATAGCAATTGGACATTTAACCTCTGGTGAAAAGGAAAAAACATATGAGCTTGATGGAAACAATTAAAATGGTTGGTGAAGCCTTGATAAGAAAGTTCCACAAAGGGTCATTTCACAGTCCTAACATACAAGAAGTTGATGAATAACGGACTGACCTTCGATATCTTCCGGTTTCACGAAGGCGGGATGCAAAAGTACTGCAGCTTGGATGTCATCAGATTTTTGCTAGTTCTACCACTACCTTGGCTAAAAGTTCATACAAATGGTGAACCTTAGGAAGGTATATGAAAAAACATAAAAATACAAATCTAGATCACCGTTTTAGCTTAAACATCTTTTCTATAGCAAGTTCTGTTCAGCACTGAAAACCACCTACAATGCTCTGAAGGTAAATGGGAAAACATAAAAAACAAGTCTGGATCAACATTCTAGCTTAAGCATCATTTTATAGAAAGTTCCAGTCTGTATTAAAAACTACCCATGATGCTCTGATACAAATGTTCCTTATAATCTCTCCTTTCTAAATGACTCGAGTGATTCTCCTCAAGTGTGTCCCCTTCTCCTCAAGCCTTTCTCATAACTTCATACTGTCTGTTTAACAGTCCCAAGTTTGTAGATCTTATTCATGATTGCCCTTCTTTTTACCTTTCTTTTATGCAAGTCGGATCAAGCCATTATTTTATAACTACATACCAAATAGGAGATAGTCTCACCTCCCCAACAAAATCCTGCAGCTCCAATGGATGATATGCCTTTACTTTTCAAAGCCGCAATAATCAGCTTCGAGTCTTCAATTCCTTTTTCCTGCAAGGGTGCAAGAGAGACGTATGTAAAGGGGATAAGCGTAGGGAAGCACATATTATGTGTTTGTCTGCTACAGAGCTTAAAATACGAACCAAGTCAAATTTATGCTTAGAAGGATGGACCAAGGACTAGATGTCGACCAACCATGAAAAGGACCAAGGTGCAGTTATGAAGACAAATAAAAGCAACTAATTGAAATATACACAAATCGGCAGGACACAAAAGAGAAGGGGTAAAATTTCCACGAAAGTTATATGTAAGAGAATCTCCAAAACCTATGGAATTTTCAAGTTTATAAAAAGAAAAGCAACCGTTTATGTTTGATAGAGAGAACAGGACTTTGGTGTATTAAGCCCTATTTTTTTGCAAAGACTACATTCCCGATTCAAACATCTGCAAGGCTCTTAAATGATCTGCGATTTGGAGAAAATCATATTGAGAAGGAATTAGTCATGAAATTTCAAAATAACTCTTCAATCGGCAACTCATTAATATCCACTGAAATGAACATTGCACATATACTTTTACACTTAAAATTAAACAAAAGGTTTCAAGCAACATAGAGAACAAGATTCTTATGTCTCCAATGAAAAGAACAACCATAATCGAATTTTTTTTTTTTGAGAAACGCCACCACAATCGATATTATTCGAAACTCACTGGCATATGAGACTTTATCCACTCTTGGATAGGACTCCCAGATACGTATGGATCCCCATAGAAGTAGTCCAGAACAATTACAAAGTATCCAGCAGTTGCAACTTTGTCAGCGAGCTTTCTACAAACTCAAACCATGATTAAAGCATTAAGATATTTGTTTCATGTATGAATGAGAAATACAATAAAGGTTGGAGAAAACAATATGGTAAATGGATAATGAATAACATTAATTCAACAATCCCTGGAAAACTGAGAATAAACCCAGATTTTAAAACTCAGATGAGTCGACTTGAACTCGGCTGAGTTACTCGGATTTGGCACCTTGCCAAACCGAGTTTTTTAGGTACAAACTCAGTAATATAAAAATAAAATAAATATTTATATTATTTCACTAAATCAATGTATAAAAAGTTAGATGGTTTTTTTTATGATGATTGGCGAGTTTTATGATAGATGTTTTTTACGATGATTGGGGAGTTTTTCTTATCATATGCTATATTTGTCTATTCTCCCATTTTTTGGATTTTTCTAAATTGTTTCCAGCTATAAATCATATTTTTCAAATCCCATCTGTCATATATTTTTTCCACCTCCTTTGGACTTTAAATGTTGTTTATAGTTTGGCTTTTCACTGTTTTTTCAACAATTTTTCTATTTTTTATTTTGCAATAGAATCCTCCACAATTCCACATCAAGGGATTTGTGGAGATTATGGTGACAGAATTTAAAGGTTGGAACTTGTTCAAAATAAATCATTTGCATTCAGTTTTTTGAGATCATGGGTCAAAGCTAAAGTACCTCAAATTTGGAGCTTCATATCCTGGAAAAGACCAAAGCAAATAAGCAAAAATAATGAGGATAAAACATACCAGTAGTGAGAACAACAAAACAGTTAGTCAACTGCATGTTGCGTAAACTAAAAGAGAGAAATAAGTATTTCAGAGAGAGAGAGAGAAACCCATTTTGCTCTCCTCCAACCAAATACTCTTCAAAACAATCACAAAGCCTAATAAATTCGATGACCCCAAAATCCAACAACAAAGAAAGCAATTCAGAGTTTCAGATCCATGTATCACCAAAATGAAGAAAAATAAAAAACAGGTACAAAAAAAAAAAAAGGAAAAAAAATCACAGCCAAAAATGACAAATTCCTAAAAATCTTTTGCACCATGCCATAGAAATAGAAATAAGGGAAGTAACAAACTTGAGTGCCAGTATAAGAGAGAGGGGTAATCACCAAAAACATCAGAAATGAAAAGGATGGCAAGCTTAGAGTCAGGAGAACCAGTGACATAGGCATTGAGGCTTCCGATTTCTTCTATAAGGCCTTCTCCACAGCTTGAGCTGAGTATCGGTGGGTTCTCGCAGCCCTGAGAGCCTGCCATTCTCTCTCTTGATAAGCTCGAGGTTTGCCGCTGCATAAAGTTGCAACCCTAAACAATGAAATTGCGGCCCACCTCTAAACTTTGTCACGGTGTATACATTTTAAGGATGGTTTAAGATTTTTTATTTTTTTATTTTTAATTATAAAATTTGAGATCTTAAAAATAATTTAAACTTTAAAATATAGAAAAAAACTATTTATCTTTGATACAAAATGATCCCATTAATCATTATTGGATGTAAAATTGGGTAGGTACAAATATTCCATTGACCAAACTCAAATTTCAGAAGAAATTTCTTTGAATTTTATCACATATCCAAACTATCAAATTTAATATCAAATAGTTGTAAGGAATTGCGACCACCTTGTATCAAACGTAAATGATCTCCTTATATAATCACCTATTCAAACACCAAAATCCTGAAAACGGACTTATGCAAAATGTATTGTGTTTAAGACCATTTATCTCTAATACAAAGCATAAACCTCATATAAGCTTTTTATTTTTTATCCATGACAGTTTCTATGAGTCCCCATGCGCATATCCAGAAATGTGGCCCCTCTTAATAAAGCGTTTTTCGAAATGGATTTTGGCTCTCTAACATGAATATCACTAATACGTAAAAATAAATAAAATTTTAAAAATAAAAATAAGAAATTTTGAAAGATATATTCGAACGATTGGTTTTACATTTCTTTTGGAGGGACCAAGTCTGTTTTTGAGAAAGTTCTCAAGGAATGTAGGAAGCTCTTAGAGACTGCTGGGGCTTCGCTGGGGGTGGGGTGCTTAAAGCAAGGGTAGAGTGTTCGCCTAAGAAAATGATTCCAGACAAGCTTATCCTGAAGTTCAACACGGTGACTGTTTTCCCTGAATCTGGGTCCAACCCCATCCCTTCTTCCTCCTCTGGTTCTTTGGCTCAGCCGGTGGTGGAGGCCAAAAGCCAAATACCCGGACGGAAAGTTTTCATCCATTTCTAGTAAAAAACCAGAGGGGGAGGAGGGAGGTTCTTACCAAAAAAAAAAGAGGGCATTCCAAATTTCAACAAAACGTGTGGAAGATGAAGGCTCTGGTGTTCATCTGAAGACTCGTCCAGCGGCTTGACACGAATGTTAATTGACCCTAAAGGCAAAAGACCTTCGGTTGACGTGTCGGCCCTTCGTCATCTAGAAGATGGAGGGCGTCCAAGTCTATCCGTTCGTCATTTGGAAGATGGAGAGGAAGAGGGAGTCTCCGTCTCGAGGTGTCTCCGTCATTACCTTTCTGCAATTTGCCGGTTGAGCCTATAAATACTTGTCCTGAAGTAGGGGATAACTCTAAGAACCTATTCTCCACAACTGTGCTTTCCTTTGGCAATCGAAAACCTAAACCTCCTTCCTTCGTCATCATCCATGGGTGCCCAGAGGATCGCTATCACCGAGTTAACTAATGAGGAGCCCATAGACATTATCCACCCTACCCAAGTCACTGAACTGCCGGAGGGAGCACCTAGGAATCTGGCCGTGCTTGGGGCTACCTGACTGTGTCGAAGCCATCGATGGAAGCTATGCATGAAGACCTCCATAAGGCCCTTTTATTGGCTTCTTCTCCGCACCTCCCCCCAGTTGTTTGTGACAGAGTCCTCTGACTCTTCCTAGGAGGAGCTCTCCCCCAGATCCCGAAACTGGCAACCCAGCAAGGAGGACAAGAAGAGGGTGACTAGGGAGAAAGCCGGGGACATGATCAACGCTATGGGTGTTAAGTTTAAGGGCACCACACCATGAAAGTGGTAGAGGAGGCTATAGATGCAGGTGAATTGGAGTGGCCTACACTCCCGAGGCCTCAGAGGATGCGCTCCCGACTGAAGAAGGAGGCGGACCTCTCATTCGACCCCTTCACTGCTGGCTCTTCTGGATCCATCAGGGGGGGTAAGGACATCATGAAGGTCCTTCACAAGCTACAAATTAACAAAATTAGCTTGCCCTCCCCCGATGCCTCTCTGGTTCGAAGATTTTGGGGGTTCCCTTCGGCTGTGAAAGGATCCCTTCTGTCTTTGCTCATTTTCTGTAGACCTTTTTGTAATCTCTAATGTATATGGGCCCTAATCATAAATTAGCGCTTTGTCTAATATTTTATCCTAGTCCCAGTTGCCTTGGTGTCCGGCTGGGGATTATAATCAAGGAAGACACCCCACTAAGTATAGTTTCGTATAGAATAGTACAGTATAGTGGGGTATATAGGATAAACAATAGACATGACTTTATCCTTTCTAAAGGTCTTTTAGACTTGGAATTGGCGGGTACATAATTTACTTAGGTCGGAATCCATGCCATGCCTCTGTTATCCAGAATTGATAATCGTTGGGATTTGGCATTCCCGAAATCTTTTGTGAAAGCTTTACCCCCATGACCCCCTCTTGCTAGACCTTCTTGGGGGTGCTTTTGGGCCTTGGAACTAATGTGGCTACAAAACAAAACCTTAAAGGCAGACGTCTACGTTGTATGGCAGAATACCATTGTCCCAAGGTAGGGTAGGGTAGGGTAGGGTAGGGTGGGGTGGGTAGATGTCTCGAATCGCTCAAAAAATCGGGAATTGTTCGGTTCTAGAGATAATTGGGCGATTCTGTACAGTGACTCGTCGATTCACTGTACGGAATCGTCGAGTCCCGTAAAAAACACGAGCTGTACAGTGTTTTTCAGGGGGATTCTTCAAAATTTGTCATTTTTTTATCATTTTTCTTGTTTTTTTGGCATGTGATCTAATATGCAGGCTTTAAACAGCTTTATTCAGCTTTTTCACAGATTAAATGGTTGAAAAATTTTGTGTTTTTTTATCACGAAAGTTGCATTTTTTGGGTTTCCGCCTTTCCTTGTGTTTCATGCCAAATAGGGCATGAATCTATCAAAATTTGTAGGCATTTTGATCGTAAAGGTGTTCATCAAAACCTTCTGTTACGAATTTGTGATAATCGTTGAAAAAAACAGAGTTATTTGGAGATTGAAGGCTCGGGTTCTAGACGAATGCCTCTTAGATGCGTCGAACCACCAAGAACAATCCCAAGAGAAAAGGGCTCTCTGTTGATCGGAAGACCCAGCGACACAAAATTAGAAATGAAGACTTGTGAGCCCAAGAGACGTTCTAGTTCCAAAGATCTCGGTCTAAATGGATTGGATTAAAGACGGGGGACGATAACACCAAGTATTTCTATACTATCGCTAACTCTAGGAGGAGGTCAAGTCAAATAATATGGATGAGATTTCTTTTCCTGGAATTTCAGAAGGGGACCAGCAGGGCAGGGAGAATTTTATAGTCAGCCTCTTCTCTAAAGCTTTCTGATGCACTACTCCTTGGAACATCTCCCATTTAAGTTGTTAAACTCAGCTCTTGTGAAGTCATTGGAAAGACCTTTTCACATTGACGAATTTAGAGAGGCGTCTGCCCATAAAATAGATAAAGCCCCTGGCCTGATGGGTTCAAGTTGGCTTTTTTCCAAGAATTTTGGGACCTTGTGAAAAATAATTTGAAGATATTCTTTGATGAATTATTCATGATGACGGTTAATAAGGTTTCGAACTCCAATCCCTAAGAAACAGCACTTGGAGTTCTTTCAAGACTTCAGGCCCATTAGCCTTCTCAATTTAATATATAAAATCCTCTCAGAAGTTTTGGCCAATAGGCTGAACGCAATCATCTCAAGTATTGTTCTGGGACCTCAATCGGCCTTCATAAAAGGGTGATGGCATCCTGATTGCGCAGGAGGTGATCCCCTCTACTAGGCTTGAAGTATTGTTCTGGAACCTCAATCGGCTTTCATAAAAAGGTGATGGCATCTTGATTGCGCAGGAGGTGATTCACTCTACTAGGCTTGAAGTATTGTTCTGGAACCTCAATCGGCCTTCATCAAAGGGAGACAAATTATAGATGACATCCTGATAGATTCGTTAAAATTCATTTTTTTTCACTAATTTTCAATTTTATTTGAAGGCATTTTCCTTTTAATTATTTTTTATATGCTTTTTATAATTTAGTATTTTTATATATATATTTAAATTGTTTGAACACTTTTTTAGACCTTCATGCCCTGGGTCTCGATGGGTCCACTGCCACCGCCACCCCTATCTTTAAGATGGGCATATGATGCTTTCGAGGCCACCCCCATCTTTAAGATGGGCATATGATGCTTTTGAGACCGCATATGTAGTTATGCACCCCCTGATGCATAATACACTTTTTCAAGAAGAGAAAGAAGCATCAAAGCAAACATACAAGGCGGAAGCACCAAAAACTTAACACAAGATCACTCAAATGCCAGCAACTAGCTCACTTTATTTTCCTCTGGATCACCCTAGTCTCTCTCTCTCTCATAAAGAAAACTAAACCATATGTGAAATGGGCAGCAAAAAAATATGAAGAAATCTCAACCCAATTCACATTTTAAAAAAAGAAAAAGAAAAAAGGGTGCATCAATATGAAGAAATCTGAACCCAAGCCCCACAACAAAACAAACATTAGAGAGAGGAGAGAGAAAGAGGGCCTCTAATCTAGCAGTTAGGGAGAGGGGTGCCACACTTTTGTGCTATGTTCTTGGCATTTGGAGAGGCAATGAAGTTGTGGAGGTGGGGATCCTTGGAGTATTGGCACATGCATGGAGCTTGTTGCTTTAGCTTTGAGCAACATGAGGTTGAAGGTGGGATGGACTTAAAGAGGGCCCCTGCACACACATTTAAACCTTGCGAGTTGCAAGAAGCTGCACAACCACCAATTGAAACATTGGCCATTGATACCATCACCACCACCACCACCACCAACACTTTCATTGTACAGAGATTTGAAGAGCTGTATCAGTAATGGTAGAGTGAGAGAAGGATGTAATTGGGTGGATGCCCCTTTATATTCTTCAGTGAAAATATTTGTTTCCTCAACATTTGTCAAAATGCCAAGAAGCATCCTTTTGCCCTCTTTGAAGCATCACCATTGTACCAGGTTCACATGTACATAACAAACAAGCTCCATTGTCAGACCTTGATCTTAGAAATTTTAGACTTTTCTTTTATGATTTATCTGAAACTTTCATATGTATTTTTGCACGCAATTTCTATATGTCTAGCTCAACAATTTTTTATTTGAGAAAACATAGACTTTTGATCGATAATTTTGTTTGTCTAATAGATAGAAATGACCTATTTCTATTTATCACTGCATACATGAAGTTTAAAGAGAAGTTCATCTAAATGCAAATAAGAGAGGAATTATTTAGCAACTTGTCTGTTTTATTTTGATTTAATTATAAAAAAAGGCATCGTTAATCATGAGTTAAACAACTAAAATATTTTTTAAAAAAAGCTTATATAACGTTGCAACCGTAAAATATAGAATTAAGGTGCACACCAAAAATCCATTTGAAAAGGCTATTTTAGTGTTGAAAATCTTCTTGACATATATATATCTATATTATTATTATTATTACTATTTTTTTTCAAGTCCTAAAAATATTACATCTTGCAACATATTATCTGGACTGACTATTTTTAAGATTTCACATGTGTATAAATCTACTTGATTTGAATCAGTTTTGGAGTTTAAAATTCTATAATTAGAAATAAAAATATATTTCCGGCTATCTTAATAATTTTTAATACCAAAATTACATGTTATGATGAATTTTAGAAGAGCACCTTAATTTAATTATTTAAAATTACAGCCTTATGCAAACCACATTCATATAAAAAATAAATGATATTTTTGATGTACTTTAATAAATAGGTAAAGTGTTAAACGGATAAAATTTTAGCTATATTTTGATAAATTTGTCTAATATCAAATGTCTTGGAGAACTGCATGGTAAAATTCAATGTACAAGGTTGTGAGTTTTTATATTAAATTTGGTAAAATAAGACAAAAGAAGAAAGGAGGAGGATTACAAAGAAAGAGCAACGTATGCAAAACTAATTAAGAGAAGGTACATAGGCAATTTTGGTCAAATATTTAATAGCATTGGTTCGTGGGCAAACACTACCTTCCAAACTCCAAAGCTTCGCTAGTTTACGTATATCTATGCATTCATTTATGGGAAAAACTTATATAAAGCTGAAGCTCTAAATCACATTTGAGCCTACCTAAAAAATTTCACTAGAGGAGTTGTTTTGATGCCCAGTATCTTCAAATTGATCATATTGACATCGAGATGCATGAACATGAGAAAAAATTAGTATTTTAAGTTTTGAAAATAGTATATTTTTTGACGCATTCTTGGACCGTCAATTTTTAAATTTTCATAGATTTGTCGCTCTATACGATTTTTTAAGCTTTAAACTTTATAGACAAAGATGGAAATATATTTTAAGGCTATCATAAAGATTTTCAATATTGAAACCACATTTCTTGACACTATTTGAAGGCAGGCTCTAATTTGATTGATTAGAGCCTAGGCTCAATACAAACTGCACCCTTCATTTATTTCATTTATAGAAGGGAAAAATTTATATAATGTTGCAACCTTAAAATGTAGAACTACGGATGCACCTCAAAAATCCATCAGTAAATGTTGTTTCAACATTGAATGACTATGAGAAAAAAAAAGATTTTGAGTCCCAAAAATGGTGCATTTGACAACACATTATATAGATTGTCCATTTTCAAGATTTTCATATGTTTATAGATCTACTTGATTTTAATCATTTTTGGAGTTTAATATTTTATAATTAGATTTGAAAATTAATTTTGAGATAATCATAAGAGTATTTTACATCAAAATTATATATTATGATAAAATTTGAAGGTGTGCCTTAAATGGATTGTTTAAGGTTGCAACACTAGGGAAACCACACCCTTTATAGAAATCTTTTATCTATCTATCTATTTTATATATTAAGCGAGAGAACTACCCTATTTATTCTTTTGCCATATATCCCACGATATTAATAACTCTCTCTTCCACACATCTCTTTTATGCCCATACATATCATCTCATGCACTTTCTCCCCCACATTTTTTTCATGCCCATATATGCCATCTCATCCCATTCTTTCCCTTCATTCAATCATCCTTCTTCTCTCTCTATTCTTAATAATTTCAAGTCCCCTACGTTTCTCTCACCCATATTAATCTCTCTCTCTTTTCTCCTCTCCCCATATTAAATATCTCTCTTTTAATTTCTTTTAATTTGTTATGTTTCCTACCCCCTCCCACATTTACTCTCTCTCTTCCTCCCACATGCATAAAAAACCACAAATATTGGTAACTCTTTTTTAATGTAGCCATAAATATAGGTAACTCTTTTTTTAGTGTAATATTTTTATGTAACTCTCTTCTTCCTATATACATAAAAAGACATAAATATAAATAATTCTTTCTTTACTTTTTATGTAACTCCTTTTTTAATATGATGTCTCTCTATCTCTCTTTTTCTATTTAATTTACTCTCTCTACCTCCCACTTTTCTATCCCTCTCTATTTAATTTACTCTCTACCACTCACCTTTTTCTCCACCTGCACCTTTCACTCTCCTCCCACCTTTTTTCTCTCCCATTATATAACCGGTAATTAATGTCTCTCTAAGTCATAACTCCTTTATTAGATATCTCTTATAACCTCTCTCATTTGTCACTCATATCTCCCTCTTTAAGTCTCTCTTTCTCTAGACTATCCTAGTACTCTCTCGCAGTTTTTTTTGTTAGAAATTAATTTTCTAAAATAAAAGTATCGAAAATTTGTTTTGATTACTGTATTTGGCCTGGCCTGGAGCTGGCTAGTAACCCCGTTACCCTGCCCGCGAAAGGCC